CAGGAATTCAGGCGCAACCTCCACTGGGCCCTCAACCCACCCCACACTCCTGAAGGTGAGCCTTCTGCAGAAGGTAAACACAAGCTGGGAGCCAGGTATCCTGGTTGACGTGAGATGTGTAGCTCCCAACATATGCTGGGGAGCCTAGCCCCCTGCCATTGCTTGCATGTGGCTTGTGTCGTTGTTGCTCAAGCTATAGCTTTATCCAAACATTGTGGCTTTCCCCGAGTTTCTGTTGCTGTGCTCTGAAAACTGCCACAGTCTGTGATCCTGGGGACCTCTAGCCCTTTCTCAGGACCTTGAACCCTCTCTGGGCATCCTTACTTGCTCCTCTCCTAGTCCTTCTCTCCTACAGGCAGGAAGAGTCTCAGCTCTTCTGCTGTCTCCTACAAGCCGGATCAGCTGCCCCCAGAAAACTCCTCCTTTCTGGAAAGGAGCTTCGTATGCCGCTTTCGCTGCCTCCTGGATAATTCCTCCGGCTTCCTGGTGAGTACAGACCCACGCTGCGACCTCCACAGCAGGAGGGGTGCAGGCTCACCCCGAGGGGTCCGTGCCACTGCTGGAACATAAAAGTTGGCTTTGAAAGACCCATCACTCTTTTCTGCCATGTGCAGCACCTGCCTGTCTCAACAAGGAGGTATTTCTGCTGTTGTTGTGGTTTAACCCCAGCTGGCAACTAGGACCACGCAGCCACTTGATCACTTCTCCCCGCTCTGCCAGTGGGATGGGAAGAAGAATCAGGAAAAATAAGCAAAATTTGTGGGTTGAGATAAAGACAGTTTAAGTAAAGCAAAAGCTCCGCACATGAGCAAAGCAAAACAAGAATTTAATTCACCACTTCCCATCGGCAGGCAGGTGTTGAGCCATCTCCACGAAAGCACAGGTCCATTACATGTAAAGGTTACTTGGGAAGACAAACGTCTTAACACCAAGTGTCCCCCCCTTTCTCCTCCTTCCCTCAGCTTTATATGCTGAGTATGATGTCACATGGTATGGAATATCCCTTTGGTCAGCTGGGCTCAGCTGTCCCAGCTGTGTCTCCTCGCAGCTTTTTGTGTACTTCCAGCCTATTAGCTGGTGGGGTGATGTGAGGAGCAGAAAAGGCCTTGACTGCTTAGCAACAACTAAAACCATTAGTGTGTTATCAACTTTATTCTCATCCTAAATCCAAAGCATAGCACTATACCAGCTGTGAGTAAGAAAGTTAACTCTATCCCGGCTGGAACCATGACAGCTGGTTTTCATAGGTTTGGTCTGTGCCTACAACCTCTCCGTGTGGGTTTTGTTCTTCTCTTTTCAGAGATGCTGAATCTTGAACAAAAGTGCTTTTGCCAGGTTTTTGTGTTAAAAGCATTTCTTAAGACCAAGTAGATGGTGTTCATCCCTCCTCCTCTCTGCTGCAAGTTAATGGGGTTCTTACCTTCATAACCACAGGTGTAACAATACTGTTTATCTCTCACTCTGCTTCAGTTTGAAAAATCCAATGTGATGAAAAAGTACTGGTTGTCTGTTGTTTAGAAGCAACACTATCACCCCTGCTGGGGCTGTGATATAGCTCAGTTAAAACGCAAAGCAGCCTGTGTATTGTACGATGCCCTGATGCAACTGCAGCATGTTCTCGGTCCTACAGCTGCTGTGTGTCTGAGCCCCAGGCTAGCAGTGAGTGGCTTGCAGGGGGAGAAGGCAGTGGGCTGCTGCTGCAGGGAGCTCAGCATTGCATCGCTTTGATCCTTCATCATATTTTAGTAGGTAGCACTGGAATGACAAGGGACAAGTTGCAAGGGATTGTTTGCATGAACTCTGCAGTGACATGGCTTGCTTTCCATGCAGCACTCCTCCCTCTCTTCTCTCTCCACCAGGTTTTCTGCGTGATGCTGAGCTTTTCTTCTCTTTCCAGGCTTTAAACCTTCAAGGAAGGCTGAAATTCCTTCATGGGCAGAACAAAAGGTCTGAAGATGGGTCTGCACTGCCACCCCAGCTTGCTCTCTTTGCCATCTCCACCCCCTTGCAGCCCCCATCTATCCTGCAGATTCGAACCAAGAACATGATCTTCAGGACAAAGCACAAGCTGGACTTCACCCCCTTGGCATGCGATGCCAAGTAAGCAGCAGACTTGATTTGAGGGGCAATGCTGCAGGCTTCCAGCATGCTGGCCCATACCTTGCCTGGGTGATGTCCCACCCTGGCTCTGCCTCTGAGCTGGGTGCATTCTCGGTATTCCTGCAGGGGGAAGATTGTTTTGGGCTACACCGAGGCAGAGCTGCGAGTGTGCGGCACTGGCTACCAGTTCGTCCACGCTGCCGACATGCTGTACTGTGCGGAGAACCACGTCAGGAGTAAGAGTCCCTTCTCTGGTCCCTCATGCCCACCCCTGAGGCTGATGAGTGGGCTGGGCTATGGGCAGCTCCATTGGCTGCCATTTCAAGCCTGGCATCCCCATAGGATGCTTTGCTTTATGCCTTGCTGGGATGTTCTTGTCACTGCAAGGAGCTTGGGGTCGTGAGTAGTGAAGGGTATTTAGCTGGAATGGTGTCCCCTGCATGTGCCAGCCATGCTACTGCTGTGACGCCACCTTTTTTATCCTGGCTGGAAACAGCAGCATCACTGGAGGCAGCCCTGCCTCTGGTGACATGCTGACAGCCCTTGGCACACATGCTTCCTCCTGGCAGTGATGAAGACGGGTGAGAGCGGTCTGACGGTCTTCCGCCTGCTGACGAAGGAGAACCGCTGGAAGTGGGTGCAGGCCAATGCGCGGCTTGTCTACAAGAACGGCAAGCCTGAGTACATCATTGTCACACAGAGACCCCTCATGTAAGTGCCATTTGTGTCAGCCCAGGCTGGGGTGGAGACAGACTGGCTTTTCAGCTTTTTCTGATGGTGTGCTCTCTGGGACACCCTGAGCAGGGAAGGATGTTTAATTTGTCATTGGTTCTTCTGCCTTTTAAAGGAGCAGCCATAGGATACTGTGCTCTGCTGTTCAGCCACATGCCCCTCTGCAAGGCCACCCTGCAGTGCTCTGCAGCTCACATCCCTGCCCCAGTGTCCTGGACACTGTTTCAGGCTTACCCTGGGGAGACCATTGGCTGCTTTCTACCAGCCGTAGGGACGTGTGGGTGTGTGGGTGCTGGAACAGCAAGGACTTCAAATGTGGCTGCTGCATGGCAGCAACCTGACATCCCCGTCCTAAGGGGTGGCTGCAGCATAGATGAGCAGGGCAAAGGTGTGACTTCTCTCTGGCATTTTAAGTATCCTCTTGCTTATGCCACAGGTGTGTGTATATATAAAAATATGTATGTGTGTGTATCTGTATGTAAATGTATGCGTGTGTGGTTCTACTCGGTACATGCATGCTGGTGGTAGCAAAGGGGCTTTGGCTTGCAGGAATCACAATTATCCACTGCAGAAGCACTTTGTGGAGTGTATTTGTGCACGTGGAAGCCACAGCCTCCTCTTCCTGCCCTGCAGAGATGAAGAAGGAGGCGAGCACCTTCGGAAACGGTCCATGCATCTTCCCTTTACCTTTGCTACAGGAGAGGCACTCTTATACAAAAGTGCTTACCCTCTCCCAGGATTCCCTGACCCTTTCCAGAGCAAAGGGAAAGCCAGCATGTCCAAGAAGACCTTCCACAGCGACAGAAGGCGCTCCCAGAAGGATGGCGTTGACCCCAGCTCTCTGCTGGGTGCTGTCATGCAACAGGATAAGGCAGTGTACGTCTCCCATCCAGCTCCCTCGCCTAACTGCTCCTTCAGCAGCAGTTTTGTGGACCACCTGAAGGATGCGTCCTTGCTAGCTGCAGGAGGAGATGCCTGGAGTATGGGCACAGCTACAGTTTCCTCAAGTGGGGACAGCCTCAGAGAGAAGCTGGTGGATTTGCAGCAGGAGGACCCTCTCTTGGCCACCCTGGACTCACTCTCAATTAAGAGTGACGAGAGCTGTTCCAACAACGAGCTCTTCAGTGCGCTGGAGGGCCTCGGGTTGAATGCTGAAGACCTGGAGCTGCTGCTGCTGGATGAGAAAATGGTGATGGTCAATATGAACTCTGACAGCACCCCGCCCCTGAATGACTGCCTCACCAGCAACAATATTCTCTCCTATATCCAAGCCACTCTGGTGAACAAGCACGAGGGAGGACAACAGGTCTGTCTCCTGCCAGGCACTTCCCCGAGCCTATGTGGGGACACCGCTATGTACCAGGCCCACGTGGAGGATGAGGACTCGCAGAACCTGCCCCAGCAGGTGGTGCAGCCCAGCATTGCCCCAGGCCAGCTCCCTGGTCTGTTGTGGGAACAGCCCCTCCATGTTGTACCGGGGCAGCCGCCCCCACTGCTGCTGGAGCCAGCCAAGGAGGAGAAAGAGCCATCTAATGGCTTGCAGTGGAGGCCAGATGGGGAGGAGGGTCTGCTCCAGTTCCTCCAGCCGGTGCAGGATGCCCTGTGGGACAAGGTTCCTGGGTCACCCACAGGAGCCACTTGCCCACAGGAGCCACCCAGGGCTCAGCAGCTGGAGGATGACTTCCTGGCGATGCATCCCACCCAAGAGGATGCTCACGAGTCCTTCTCCCTGCCCAGCCAGGGCCACATGGGACCACCTAGCCAGCTGAAACACCATCACTTGCTGATGAATAAGTTGCGTGGCCACATCCCTGACTCTACTCCACATCTCCTTCCTAGCAGCAGCCCCAGCCCATGGCAGGACTATGTTTCCCCACTCCTGGGGTCCCCAGCTCAGCCCGGCTTTTATGGCACCAACCAAGACTTAAACTCCCAGCACCAGGGCAGCTTGGGTCCCAGGCCCAGCATGCCGACTGTACACTTTAACCTGAACAGATTATGCAGCATGGAAACTGCGGGCAGCAGGGGGCGCCAGGAAGAGATGGCTCCATATTCCAATTTTTTCCCATCCTCCTCATACCAGTTTAATCCTGAGAAGAAGCTGAGCCCTGTTCCCTCTGTGCCCCAGCACGCTTTTCCAAGCTCAGCTGCAGGGTGCTTTGGGAACATCGGCAGTCTGTTGGAGACTCCTGTGAACTCCTATGGGTCGTATGCGACTGTGCTGAGCCAGGAGAGCAGGCACAGGGTAAGGGCTTTTTTCTAGTCTCACGCTCAATATTCTTCTGTGCTGGTATTTCCTGGGGATCTCAGCACAGGGAGGCACGCACTGTCTGGTCAGTAGGCAGGAATTGCCTTTCTCTAGCTGGCGCACAGCCAAAAAGGAAGACTTCAGGGGTTTTTCTTTGCACCAAGAGTTGAAGAGCGAAAGACCAGAGTGTGGGTTCTTCCCTTTAGAAGGCGGCTGTCTCTGAGTCGGATTTCCGTATGGTTTGTTAAATTGCCATTTCTGTACAGAGAGTAATTCCAGCCACACACTGGTAAGCTTTGACGGGTAGTACAAAGCACGTGTGAGATGAAGATCTTCTGTACCGTAATGTCTTTCCCTTGTGGAAACACTCCCTGGCCTGTGCACCAGCCCTGTTGAGAGCCCATCCAGCTGCTGCTAGCCATCCAGTGCTGCAGGGCAAGGTCTCTGACATCAGATCTGCATGTCACAGTGCTCTTCAGGGCTGTCCTCGCAAGTGACTCCCCTGGGATTGGGGACTGGGGCCAACAGCCAAAACTGGGGCTGCTTAGGGAGTGCATAGGGAGTGAAAGCAGCCTGGCCCTTTCCCCACATGCAGATACCATGCATGTCTGTAAGGGCCATGAGCTTTCTGGGCTCCAGTGTGGAGAGCTGGTCTAGGTCCTGGGGGAGCCAATCTCTGCAGTGATGGTTCCCTAGCCTGTGGCACCACCAGGCAGGGTGCGATGTCGTAAGTGATCTGTCCTGCCTCCCTGCTTACCCAGCTCTGCCCTGGTGAGTACTGTCCCCTGGGTAGCTTGTTCCTTGCTGCTACACATCTTCTGCTACTGGAAGGCTGCCCTGCTATTTCACAGGGGTTTCTGTGTTAACTTGGGGGCCAACAGATGTCAAAGCATTTTCTGCTGCTTCTTGAAGAATGCTTAATATGCACCTCAGGTCCTCCCATTCTCCATCTCCTCCAACTCAATATACCAGGTACCTTCTAGGTCTGTTGAAGACCTTGACTCTGGTCCTGCCTAGGGGTTTGAGAGCTCATTGGACCAGTGAAGAACAGCCCCAACACATCTCTAGAACTTGGTGGCCACCACCTTGGTGGCTGGCGTGTTTTTGGCTTGCCAGGAGGAGTGCAGCAAGGGTGCAGGACCAAAGTGCTTCCTCCAGATGCAGTCCAGGCATCCATGATTTACAGATAGGTTTCATGAGTGAGCTGCAGGGCCGATACCTGTGTCAGGATCTGCAATGGTCAATTAGCAGGTCAGTAGGTGAAAATCAGTGCCAGCTGAGGAGGTTGGATGCACTTGCTCTCTCTGTGCTTTCAGAGTCTTGTCAATGAAGCGATATGTCAGCATTCGTGAGAGAGAACCAGGGGTAAGGTGTGGGGATGTGTATGGGTTCACTGCTAAACCCCTGTACCACCAGCAGTGGTAGGGCAGGAGCAGACCTGCCAGCCTTTTCTGGGCACCAGCCCCATCAGTACCCGTAAAACACTGCAAAATACCTCAATGCTCTGTTTTCTCTCTCTTCTAGCCTGAAAGCAGCTGTGTTTTGCCCAGCACTCCCATGGGACTCCCTGGAAACCGCCTGGTACTTGGGGGGAGCCCGGCTCTCCCCTGCCAGCTGTACCCTCAGGCAGAAGCACTGACAGATTACCCTCATGCCTCCAGCAGCAACTTCTGTCTCTAGGAGAGAAAGACTGAACTCGACAAAGCAGGACTATTCCATGGGGAAGGAGCTGCCTTCAAGTTGCAGATAACAAACCTTTCCCCTGCCTTGTGTGTCCTGCCATTGCTCTTGATATCAGTTGCTTTGGCTCAGATGGGGTTTTTTGCTTTTTTTTAATCTTATTTTTTTATCAATTTCCCACCATCCTGCCCCTACCAAGGCTCTATTCACCAGTCCTGTGGAGGTGTCCCTGGCCTGGGGAGCATGGTGGCTCTCAGTGGGGCTGGAGGGCAGGTTCCCCCAGGGAACAGGAGTGAGATGAGCTGCAATGCAGGTCAGCTGGTGTGTGCAGCCTCATCTTTATCTTGTGGTGTCCAAGAGTTGTGTGGGTCTCAGTCAGTTGGAGGGTCTCAGACTTAAGAGATGGAAAGTGACAAATATACTCTTATCCCACACCCTGACCTCCTTGCTCTTGTTTCCCTGGCGGGGCAAGTGCCTGCCCTGCCTGCCTGTCTTACGGAGTGTCAGCTTGTTTGGGCCTTTTATGGTTGGTGCTGGCATTCAGAGACTAACTTGCTCTGGAAAGAGAAGAGAGGATTTCTGTCTATCACCAGCCAGGCTGCTGAGTTGAAGGTGTGGCATTCATGTGGCAAATACCCTACTTTGCCAAGAATACGGGGAGCAAGCTCTCCATCACACCAGTCTTTGCAGTTCTGCCGTTAACGGAGTGTGTTCTTTTTGGAAACCCAGGCTGCTTCCATGGCTGTCACTTGGCTCCCATGGTTCGGTAGTCCCCACAATGTCTGTGCAAGGCAGCCCTCACCCCAAAGGACAGGCGGGTTTCTGATGGCTAATGTCCTCCAGCTTCACCAAAGCTTTGCGTGATCCAACACAGATGCAAGACTCGTGTGTCTGGGGGTGTGTGTGTGGGGGGGAAAGACAGGAAAGATCTTTAACTCTGGTATTAGATGCCGGGCTGAGATGGCAGGAAATTTGTGGCTGTGGCCACATTGTACAGATGTTGCCTGGTTTACAAAGAAACTGAACCTGACTTTCGTTCTTGTGTTGCACTGGTCCTTCACCACTGGCAGGTTTCCTTGAATCCCAGGTGTTCCTGTTTGTTAGGATCCAGATTAGACCTCCTGTAGTGAACACCCTGGGGTTTGCTGTACTGTATATGATGTGCCCAGGTTGGCTGATTAAGCAGTTTTTCTCCTGGGTGATGGGGTCTGAACCTGGACAGGCAGCAGGGATCATTCTCAAACAGCAGGAGCAAGCTGGCATGTAAGCCATACCTTGTATCTGTGCTTAAAAAGATTGCAGATAAGTAGTGGAGCTGCCTAACCTAAGGAGATAATTTCAGATTAACTGTACAAAAAAACCCCAGCTCACTAAGATAAAGAAAATTATCAATATGATACTTAAAATTAAGTACTTATAGATTCCCCCCCCCC